TCCTTCCTTGCCTCCTTCCTTTATTCCCTATCTCCCTCCCTTTATATCTCTCCCTTCCTTCCTTCCCTCTTTCCTTTCTTCCACTTCCTTCCCTCTCTCCCGTCATTCTCCCTCCCTCCGTCCTTCCCTCCTTTCTTTTCCTTCCTTCCTTCCTTCCTTCCTTCCTTCCTTCCTTCCTTCCTCCCTCCCTCCCTCCCTCCCTCCCTCCCTCCCTCGGTTTTCGAAGTCACCCATCTCACCAACACAGTAATTGTCAGCAACGTACAACATAATAAAACGTTCCAGCGTGCGCTTTAAAAAGCCATTAAAATCAGAATAGAAAAGTTTAAAACTAAAAAGCCAATAATGACGGGCAGCCTGTTTTGTTTTTTTTTCCTCTCTCTCTCTCTCTCTTTCCCCCCCGGCAGGTTGGCCGAAGCTCCACGTCCAGGTGTGGCACCAGGACGCTTTTGGGCGCACCGATTTATACGGCTACGGCTTCTGCCACGTGCCCTCCAGCCCCGGCGCCCACCAGCTGGACTGCGTGACTTGGCGCCCGCTGGGCTCGTGGCAGGAGCAGCTGTCCCAGTGCTTTGTGGGAGGCGGCCCCCAGCTCATCAGCAGCGACCTGATCTACACGGGGGGCGACCGCTACCGCCTGCAGACCTGTGCCATGGGCACCGTGCACTTCCAGCTGGCGGTGCTGCTCCGTAACTTCGACCGCTATGGGGTGGAATGCTGAGTCAACCCCCCCTCCCAGGACGGAGCCCCTTCGCTGGGCTTGGAAGCAGAGGACTGGTCCGTGAACCCCCAAAGTTCAGGCATCGGAAGGACCTGGGGCCAAAGCGAGGGGGGGGGAGGCTGCTCTCTTCCCCAACTGCTCTGGGAAGGAAGACACCCACCCCCCCCAGCTCTGCTTAAACTGAGAGAATCGCAAGCCATAACTCCAAACCAGGGGTCTCCAAACTTGGCCACTTTGAGACTTGTGGACTTCAACTCCCAGAATTCTCCAGCCAGGATAGCTCCTTCCTTCCTTCCTTCCTTCCTTCCTTCCTTCCTTCCTTCCTTCCTTCCTTCCTTCCTTCCTTCCTTCCTTCCCCCCCTCCCCTCCCCCTGTCCCTTTTCCCCTTCCTTCCTTCCTTCCTTCCTTCCTTCCTTCCTTCCTTCCTTCCTTTCTTCCTTCCTTCCTTCCTTCCTTCCTTCCTCCTCCTCCTTTTGCCCACCTCTGCCCTAAATCTTACAGAAACCCCAATTCTGTTAAGAACCTGCTAGAATTCAGGGGTCCCCAAACTTGGCAACTTTGAGACTTGTGGACTTCAAACTCCCTGAATCCATAGTTGGCTGGAGAATTCTGGGAGTTGAAGTCCACAAGTCTTAAAGTGGCCAAGTTTGGAGGCCTCTGCTCTAAAGTTTGAACTCTGTCTTTGCAACCCAAACTGGGTATTGTTGGGTTGGGGCCTGGACTCGTTTCCTCGCTCCTGATTTCTCTTCCTTAGTGGTCGTTTTCAACTTTGGCAATGGTGCTTCTTTTGATCCTGTCTGGTTCCGTTTTCTTGCGCGGTGTTTGGCCAGATCCAACCAGGCAGGGAGTCTCGCTCAGTCTGGGTGCTTCTCTGCAAGATGTATGAGATTCTGTTGTTTTTTTGTTTTATCAAGGAGGGGGAAAAATCAATATCTATTTTCTCATGAACTTTTAATTGGTTTTCTGTGTGTGTGTTGTTGTTTTTTTAAAACCCACTCCTAGTGAAACTACCAGCGGTAACTCTGTAAACAATGGTCCTGGGCCTAGTTTTGTGCTGTAGGATAGAAGGAGGGGCAGCAAAAAAAATGTTTTTTTTTTTTCAAACTTGGCAACTTTTAAGGTTTGTGGACTTCAATCCCCAGAATTCCATTAGTTGGCTGCAGGAATTCTGGGAACTGCAGTCCAGACCTCTTAAAGGAGCCGAGTTCGGCACTGTGGAAACAAAGCTTTCCTTTTTATTTTGGATAAATGGAAATTATTGGATTTAATAAACCTACGGTAAATGTGGTCCTGAGATGCTAAGAGAGTTGTAATTCTGGCCGTGGCCAGCAGAGGTCACCAAAGCTATAGTTTTGGCCAAAAAAATGCATTTTTTTTGGTTTGTTTGCCAGAACTACAGTTGCAATTATAATTTTTATGCAAAGACAGCTTACATGCTTGTAGATAGGTATTAAATCTGGTAATTCTCATTTATCCGAGATAAAGAGATAAGCTTGCTTACAAGGCAGTGCCAAGCACACAAAACTAACCCTTTCTTCCTCCTGGTTTTTCTGGTCCAATTTCTAACCTGCCCTGACCTCAAAACAACACGGGCAGCTTCACAGGGCAAAAACCACAACACGATGCATAAAACAATACACAATATCATATAAAAACCACCAACTGGCATAAGGAGGGAACCACAAAACATCACATTCTCCATCCGTCGCCACTAAAAAGAGACCAATCCAACCAACAGACTGTTAATTCCAATCCCAGGGGGAAATAAGCAGGTTTTTAAAGATGGCTTAAAGCTAGATTAAACAGGGGATGTTGCTCTAAAAGGCACATGGGAAGGTAGCATCATTGCCCAAGTGGGGGCCAAACCAGAGCAACCCAAAAGCTGATTACAAGTTTTGTTTTATTTCTGTCCTGCCAGTTATAAATAGCCTGGCCCACCTCACAGGGTTGTTGTGAAGAAAATAAGAGGAAGGACTATCGGATGCGTTCGCCAGCTTAAAGTCACATGAAAGAAGGGACAAAAATCTAAAGTGCAATTTCCTTTGGCTTTCCTTTCCCACAGTGTTTCTCAAATCTTGGGAATTTTTTAAGAGAAATGGGCTTCCCAACTCCCAGAATTCCCCAGCCAGCAGTTGCTGGCTGGAGAATCCTGGGAATTGAAGTCTGTATATCTTAGAAATGGTTGAGTTTGGGAAAGATTGCGAAACTGCAATAGTTGTAAACATAAGGATTGATGGCCTAGTTCAGAGGTCTCCAAACTTGGCAACTTCAAGACTTGTGGACTTCAATTCCCAGAATTCTGGGAGTTGAAGTCCACAAGTCTTAGAATAGAAATAGAATAGAATTAGAAGAGAATATAGAAGAGAATAGGAATAGAATAGAATTCTTTATTGGCCAAGTGTGATTGGATATACAAGGAATTTGTCTTAGTGCAAATGCTCTCAGTGTACATAATAAACTAAAGTTGCCAAGTTTGGAGACCCCTGGTCTAGTTCCTTTTATCATCATGGTAACCACGAATGAACGAGTTGCTGAATGAGGCAGTCGCTAAACGAGGACTGTGCAGCTCCCTGCCAGTTGGCCATAAAAGCCTGCTTCCAATTTTTCCCTCCAGCTATTTCGGCCACTGTACGGATACGGGAAATTGCTTTTCTTCCTACCTGTTATCGCCTCCCTTCCATCTCTTGCCGAGAGGTATGTTTTTATATACTTTTTTTTTCTGACCCACGATTTAGCCTCCAGGAGCTCTTCGCGTGTCTCCGTGGGAAAGAGCAACACAAAACAATGCAGGGTGTGTTTGTGTGCCTCGGGGCTGAAAGGATCACGCCGACCTGCTGCCTCCAGCATTGCGAAGTTAACGCAACCCAGGTCCAGCTCTTTGTGGAATCTCCAGTTGGGGAAATTGACAAAGAAGGGGGAAAATATTTGGGGCAGAAAGACCGTTGGAAAAGCATATCCCATCATTAATGTGTTGTGTGGCGGTTGTGTGTTGTGTGTGTGTGTGGATTGTAGCCAAATCTATACACTCCCAGTAGCTGACCAGTCTAGAAAAACGAGGAAAAAAAGGTATAATTCTCTACTTACAACAATTCATTTAGTGACCATTTGAAGTTACGACGCCAACCGGAAAGAGTAGCTTGTGACCGTTTTTCACACTTAACAACCTTTGTTGCAGTGTCCCCCCCATGGTCACGTGATCAAAATCCAGATGCTTGGGCAACTGATTCGTACTTATGACGAGCATAGTGTCCCCTTTTGCGACCTGACAAGCAACAAGGGGAGGGGGGGAATAGATTCGCTTAAAAGAACCGTGTGACTAACTTAAGGGCTGCCGTGATTCGCTGAACAACGGTTGAAAAAAAAGACGTAAAAGGGGACCAAAATTTCTCTCAACAACTGTCCCTCTTAGCAACAGAAATGTCGGGCTCAGTTGTAGTCGTAAGTCAAGGAGCAGCTGTATGTGTGGCTTGAAAAAGGGAGAGAGAAAGAAGATATATTATTCTATTATTCAATAATGCAGTATCATTATAGTATATACTAATACTATACTATAGTAAATAATGGTATAGTATAGAATAGAGTAGAGCATAGTAGAATTAGAATAGAAGCCGAGCAGTGCAGGATTAGAATTAGAATTAAAATTAGAATAGAACAGAATAGAAAAATTAGAATAGAATAGAAAATAGAAGATAATAGAGAATAGAATAGAGAATAGAAAAGAATAAAGAGAATAGAACAGAATAGAATAGAGCTGGAAGGGACCTTGGAGGTCTTCTAGTCCAGCCCTCTGCTCAAACAGGAGAAACTATACCACCTCAGACAAGTGACTATCCAGTCTCTTCTTAAAAACCTCCAGTGATGGAACACCCACCATTTCTGGTGGCAAGCTGTTCCACTGGTGAATTGTCCTCACTGTGAGGAAATTTCTCCTTCATTCCAAGTTGCTTCTCTCCTTGCTTAGTTTCCCTTCATTCTTTCTTTGTCCTGCTTTCTTTGGTGCTTTGGAGAATAATTTGACCCCTTCTTCTTTGTGGCAGCCCCTCAGAACAGAATAAGTTGGAAGGGACCTTGGAGGTCTTCTAGTCCAGCCCCCTGCCTAGGCAGGACGCTCCCCTAGACCATTTCCGATGAACGCTTGCCCGACCTCCTCCTTTTAGCTAGTTGCTCTGCAAACACGTTCCTGAACCTACCAGCCCAGAATTGGCTCTCTCGCCACGTGTAACATGGGTTTGGATGGCATTTGGGGTGTAACTCAACCCCAAAGACCCCCCCCCCTTTTTTAAAACCCTTCACTCCCCCACCCACCCCCCCCCCACCCTGATGCAGCTGCTCCAAAATAGCTCCAGGAGGCGGCTGGAACGGCCCCTCTTGCTTGGCATGTGGCGGGCGGGACCTGCGGAAAGGAAAGGAGGGCTGAGCGGAATATGAATCGCCCCTGAATGAAGGTTCCCCTCCTGAGAGACTCGAAGAAGCGACGAAATTGAGCCTGGATGGTAGCCAGGAATCTCGGTTTGAGCAGAGAATCGATGGAGGGTGGTTGTTGTTTCCCCCCCGCCCCTATCGTGAGTTGTAAAGATGGTTTTGGTTTGCAAAGCAACACAGCTGATTTTAACGGAATAAACAAGAGTTGGAAGGGACCTTTGGAGGTCTTCTAGTCCAACCCGCTTGCTCCAGCAGCAGACCCCGTTCTACTTTCTTAGCTCTGTTCCTCCCTGGAATGGAGGGTGGCCCTGGGCCACAATCCACGTAGGCCTGCTATCCAATGTCCATGCAACCCATGACCTACCGAGGCCCACCTGGTTCTCAGCTTCTGTGGCAAAGCCCGGAGGGAATGAAGGTATGGGGTGGCCTTTTGTCGTTCTTTCTTAAAGCGGGGAGAGGTCCGTCTGAAAGTGACAGACTGAGTTGGAAGGGGCTTTAGAGGTCTTCTAGTCCAAAGAGGAGGAGGCCCTATACTTTTGTTGGACAGGTGGCTGTCCAGTCTCTCTTTCAAAGCCTCCAGTGATGGAGAACCCTCAACTTCTTAAGGCACTCGGATGAATTGATCGGGGATTATAGAATAACGGAGTTGGAAGGGACCTTTGAGGTTTTCTAGTCCAACCCACTCTGAAAAGGAGATGCTATAGCACTCAGGGCAAATGACTGAGCTTTCTTTCTTTCTTTCTTTCTTTCTTTCTTTCTTTCTTTCTTTCTT